GTGTGTGTGGTGTGCGTGAGCGCGGCGGGATGCATTGGATGTATCTGAAAGAACATTTCTAGAGAGATGATTATGGATGATGGCTCGACGTAATAAGTGCATTAATCACTTCATGGATTCATAAATGATGATATTTGGAGGCTGTGAGAATTGGGGTGTTGGGGCCTCATTGTTGGAAGTAGGTCATGGAGGGTGTGTCCTGCCCCATCCTCTAATTATATTCCTCTTGACTCCCTGGCCATATTTTCTCTCTCTCCCTCTCTCCCTTCCTCTATCTCTCTCCCTCTCCTTCTCTCCCTCCCACTGTCTCTCTCTTTCTCTCTCTCCCTGTCTCTCTCCCTCCCTCCCTCTCTCTCCTCTCCTCTCCTCTCCTCCTCTCTCTTTGATGCTTGCCATGCCAGCACTCTTCATCCAACACCCACTCCGTGTCTTTAATTTACATCTTCCCACTCCTATCACCCTGTCTTGGTTAGGATTTCTATTGCCGCGAAGAGACACCATGGCCACAGAAACTCTTACAAAGAAAAGCTTTAGTCGAGAGAGACTCAGTTACAGTTTCAGAGGTTCTGTCCATTATGATCAATGATGGGGAGCATGGCAGATGTGGTGCTGGAGCTGAGCGTCCTACCTCTTGACATAGAGGCAACAGGAAGTCAACTGACTGTCCTACTGAGTGAAGCTGGAGAAAAAGACCTCAAAGCCAACCCTGAGAGTGATGCACTTCCAACAAACATCGAGTCCCAGAGTAAAGGTGTGCCCTCCAACCTCAAGGTCTGTACTAAAGGCATGATTCATGCAGCCTCCTCCAACAAAACCACACTTCCTCCCAACAAGACCACTAATGGTGCCACTGCCTATGAGCTCATCAGGGCCAAATACATTTAAAATACCACCCCCCCTTTGTATGCACACTAGAAGCTGAGCTCAGCGTTGACTATGGTTTTCATTCTTGCTTGATTTCACTTACCAGGTGGTTCTCCCACCTCTAGCTAGACTTTGGCATTTATAGTTTTAAATTCTTTTAAAAATATTTTTTAGATATTTATTTTGTCTATATATGACTTTTCCCTGCATATTTATGTGTGCATCAGAAGATATCAGATGCCCTGGAACAGATGGTTGTGAGTCACCATGTGGGTGCTGGGAACTGAACTCAGGACCCCTGGACGAGCAATAATTGCTCTTAACTGCTGAGCCATCTCTCCAGTCTCAAGTCTTAAGTTTTGTAAAGAGACAAAAAGCCCAAGTATTGACTTTTTGTTTTGTTTTTCAAGACAGGGTTTCTCTGTGAAACAGTCCTGGCTGTCCTGGAACTCACTCTGTAGACCAGGTTCACAGAAATCTGTCTGCTCTGCCTCCCAGATGCTGGCATTAAAAGCATACATCAATCACCATTACCCAGCAAGTGTTGGCTTTTTCATTTCAAGAGCTGAAGTCAACTACAAGACACGGATTTGCAAGGACTCAGGATGTTAAAGGGGCTGCGTTCCAGCCCCTTAGGAGAGGGACTGAGGGATGGCCTTCATCATGAAGATCAGTGAGCTGTGGTCCCATCGGGGGAATGAGAGGGCAATGGCTTCCCTACCTGTTTCCTCCTTGCTGCGTCTCTCCACTTTATTCAGCAAAAGCTGAAAATAGCTTTGTCACAGCCGAAATGATTTCACCTCTGACAGAGGATGGATGAGCCAGTCATGATGGTGCATGCCTTTAATCCAGTGCTTGGAAAGCAGAGGCAGGAGGATCTCTATGAGTTTGAGGCCAGCCTGGTCTGTATAGTGAGTTTCAGGGCAGCCAGGGCTGCACATCAAGACCTTGTCAGACAAAAAGAAAAGGAAAAAGGAAGAAAGGAAGATGAATGAAAGGAACCTCTCAACCTGCCTGCTTTTAGAAGGTCTTGTGAAGATGACAAGGCTTTGTGCTGCTGCAGCCTCACTGTGACCATGAAGACAAAACTGATGACTGAAGCTGGAAGAGCAGGAAGACAGGGAGACTGAGTCCTCACTGACATTGCTAAATGATGGGAGATGTCATTCTGTATATGTTTCTCAAACTGGTTAATGAATAAAGCACTGTTGGCCAATAGGAAAGGAAGATAGGAGGGACTAGGAGACAAGGAGGAGAGAGGAAATAGGAAGGAGGAGTCAGCATGGAGAGACTGGGGAAACCAGATGCCTGCCCCACTCCCCGGTAGGTGAAACCACGTGGAAATACAAAGAAATGGGTTAATACTTAAGACAGAGCTAGAGATAAGAAACAAGTAACTGGCCAACAGCATTATATCAAATACAGAGTCTCTGTGTATTATTTGGGGCAGGCGCAGAGGCGGGACAAGACCAGCAACGGGAGGAAAAACCATACTCATTACAGCTAAATCTCCTATTCGACCATTCCCACCATTCCCTTTGGATTCCTTGTTACGTTAGAGACGATGTTCTTTGTGTTGTTGTTACATAGTTGCATGCTGGAAATAGAGAGCTTCTGTTTCTATGAACAAGGGGAGGTGGTAAAACTTCTAGGTAGGCTGTGAAAACTGAGACCCATCTCATGTCACATTACACAGTATGTTTGTTGGCCCACTATGCAGAGGTCCCTTCACCACATGGCAAAGGAATAAGAAACACCTGTTACGGACCAGAGAAATAAATGACTTAGCAGGTAATGGTGCCTGTAGCCAAGCCTGACAGAGTTCAATCCCTGGGACTAACATGGTTAAAAGAAAGAACCAGCCTCCCCCTCCCCCCCACAAATTGTCTTCTGACCTCTACATGCATGCTATGGCATGTCCCCACACCAATCAAAAATGTAATAAAAACATTTTCACAAGAAGAAGTAGCTGTGCAATCAGTGAGAAGAGTCTTGTTTGCTTAAGGGCAATCACAAAATCAAAGAGCAGAGGTCAGACTTGAGAGGACTTTGGAGGTGGGTGACAGGGCATGGAGCAGTGGTTGTCACGTGCATGGACTGGTAAAGGATGCCATGACAGAGAGCTCCATGGTGTACTGGGTGCATCCAACATTTTAACACTGACATGATGTTATTTTATACCAAGTTCATGCTTGAGAGCTGCAAAATCAAGATTAAAAATACCACACATACACACCCCTCACATTTTAAGTCAGTTTACAATTTTGTGTTTGGCCAAATTCACAGCTATCTCTGGCTGAATGCATCCTGTGGCTGTGCGCTAGACACTACTGTAGACAGGAGCCATGTCCTTCTAAGGACAGATGGCACCTGATGCCTTTCAATACACCCCCCTGTTACTCTGTGCTCACCCACCCCCCATACTTACATGCTCTCAGGGAAGGAGGAATTACCTCAGATGAACCTGAATTCTGGAACTGACTCTGAAGTGAGTGAAATCAAGCTTCCCAGCAATAGGTGGAAGTTAATTTGAATGCATGGATTACCTATCTTGTAGAAAAATCATTTATCCCAAACAATAAACCTCATCTCAGCCCTGTTCTTTTTAACACTCTCTTCTTTCATTAACTGCCAAACATTTTGAGGAACTGTCACATGTGGGGCCCTCCCCATCTTTGAAGTCCAGTAGTTTCTTAACCCCTTCTAGCTGATGTTTGGCTGCACCACCTCACATGATAATCACGACTTTGAGTCATCGTTACCCTTCCTATAATTTAGAAAAGCACTTGGATTAATGAGTAAAGAACTTCATCGATGTCCTACCCCTTCAAGCTAGACCCATTTCTTCATCTTGCCCCTCAAAATAGCCTAACCTCACAGTTTTGAGCTTCAGTGCTCTTCTTTTCCTGGCCCCCACTCAGCCTGTTTCAAGGTTTTGTTGTTTTATTTGTTTGTTTGGTGGCCTACCATAGAGGGTTGTTATAACTAATACACGAGCCTGGTGTCGGTGCTTCTTAAGTGTGTTTGAGAATTACATATGCTATAAACAGGTTAAAAGCAACGTCCCAGGCCAGCGGTGTGGAATGTGATATGGTTCAGCCTCACAGTGCAGACTCCCTCACCTGCACCCTGTGGTCGGAGGATTTCTTTCTTGTTCTCCTGGACCTTTCTTTGCTTGCCTGGCCAAATGGCAGTTGCTTCCCACTCTATCTTAATCCCGAATCTTGTTGGTGTACAGTCATGCCTGGGTTGATGCCCACTGGCATCCTTAATGTTTGGGTTGGATGAGCAGTCACAAATGGACCAAAAGCATCATGCCTACAAAAAACAAAAGGCTTCCTGTGCATGCACTTTAGGCTGTGTGTTTGAGCCACTCGATGCTTTCTCATGTAGGATATGGTGGGGGTTTCTCATTTGCTACTGTTCCCTAAATATAGCAAGAATCTTTCGGTAATTGTTTCCAGCCTTCAACGAGATGTACAGCATACAACGCCCACAGGTGGACTCATTTGAAAGTCTTTTTAACCACAATGGCCCTTGAGGCAATACCGTCTGACTTTCTCATTGACCTGGTTGGTCCTTTACTAAACATCATCTGACAAACCTGTCTTGTCCACAGTTATCTACCAGTTAGTTGTCCATCCGGTTCACACTTAATTAGTTATTTGGCCATTTATTCACTCGTTAATTCACACAGGTTTCCAGTTATAAAGCCATCTTCTAATAGCTATCTTACCTCTTCTAATGGCTATCTTAGAGCTCTGTTTTCACTTGGGGACAAAACAAGAGATCAGGAGAGGAGCACCTGCTGGGTCTCAGTCCTCCAGCCCTGGAGGCACCTGGGTGATTCTTGCCGCTCTCTCCCACCTGTTCCCCTGCTCTGCTCCTTCTAGCTGGGGCTCAGGGTCGACCCTGCTGGAAAGAAAAACCAGGCCTGAATCAACTGAAACAAGCGAGGCAAGAAAACAAGTGTGCAGCGGGCGAATAGAGCTGGCAAGGTATCTGGGGAGAGGTGGGCTTGCCAGGCTGCTGGCTGCTTTGTCTTTGGGAGGGAAGCTGCGGCGGGGTGGGCTGGGCAGGCCGGGCTCAGGGCCCACCGGGCTGGGCTGGGGTGGAGGGAAGCCGGCGGGGGCGACCGCGGGGCTCGGGGCTGCGCGGCGGGGGCGCGCGGCGGGAGCGTCTGTGCGCGTCGCGGGCCCCCGAGCGCGCGGGGCCTGGCGAGAACGCGCGCTGCCGGGCGCGGCGTGGGTACCCCAGCCGCGGGCGGCCGCCCCACAGCCCCTGACACGACCATGGCGACTGACAGTAAGTGCGGGGCCCCCTGGGGAGGCCGAGGCACCTGGGGTGGCAAGTTCTCCTCCCGCGCGCGCCTGCTTTTGTGGCCGGATCGCGGGAGCAGCGTCCGGGTACCTCATCTCCGGAGCGGGGCCCTTGTCACCATGCTCATCATCCCGTGTCACCGGGCAGGACGGGGGAGGGCAGGAGGTCTGAGGGCCCCTCTGGAGGGATGCGGCACCTGGCTGGAGGGGACACTTGATGCAGGGAGTGCAGCAGGGCTGGGCCTCGCATCCCTTCGGGGACTGCCTCCAGGCCCTGAGCTAGCTGGTAGGGAGCCCAGTATTGGGGCGCTGTGAGTTCAAGGTTCTCCTGGAGTTCTGAGACAGATTGGCACGCCCTCCTCCTACCAGTGGCCCCAATGGGCTCTGTTCCCAGGCCCTGAAGCCAGAGACCTTGTCTGGCTGTCATAAATGCTAGGGGCGTACAGGGAGGGAAGGTTGAGATCTAAGACTGGAAGTGTTGGGAGGCTCCGAATGGCCTGCTGCTGGCATCTTGGCATCTTTGCTATTGTCTTTGGAAATTAGGATTGCTGCTAAGAAAACCAATTACATGTGGCTGGAGCTTGACCTGTTAGTGGAACCTCACAAGGAGCACCAAGTGGGTCATCAAGTCACACTTGTCTTAGCTTTAGCATCTAAAGTCCTCAGTGGTAGACAAGGGCACATAGTAGGGACTTTGTTCACTGAATGTACGGTATGGTTACAGATGTCATTTATAAGGCAATTTGGAGAGATGGGAAGGGACAAAGATGGATGGTGAGGGTGAAAATTTCATTATTTTTCTTTTAAATGAACCACTATCCAGCAAAGAACACAGCTTGGATACAATACAGAGGATGTGAGTTTTTTTGTTTGTTTGTTTGGTTTTGTTTTTTGATTAAAGGCCTACAGCAGGATTGTGGCACTACTCTCAACTTTAAAACTATGGCCTGGCTGTTGGATGTGAGGGCACACGGCAGTAATCCCAACACTTGAGCAGCTGAGTCAGGAGGATGTCAACTGACAAACCTTGTCTCAGAAAAAGCATGTGTATGTGTACATGTATGTGTGTATACACACACAAACAGGTACATGACAAGATTGATGTACCCATGTACAGCCATGTAAAGCAATGACTCTGTTATAAAGTGGTGGGCACGCAAAGTGAAACGGACAGGTGTGTACTTGTCCTCGCATCTTCCATTCGCCATGCTTTTATGCGTGTGGAGAAACCAGTGTGCTCCCTCTGCTTTTAACAAGGTAGATCAGATGCTCAGCATAAAATTAACTAATAGAGATCAATCTTTTGTTGCTGTTGTTCTCAGTTCTGCTTATGTGTCCAAAAAGTGTAGTCATTGTGGAGGGAGGGTCTAAGGGAAGAAATGATAGATTTAGCTTTTTTTGTTGTTGTTGTTAGTAAAGTATGAAACTGTTACAACTGGCCTTATTCATGCAAATGGTAATTAACAAGTTCTAATGTTATAGAAACTGTCTTTAGGTAAGGGGAGGGGGAGCGACAGGCGACAGGCAGGTGGGACCATCAGGCAGTGAGTAGATGGCTTCATTAGGATGCATTAAGCCTGGGCACAGTGTTAGCTGATTTTTTTTTTATTTCAGTTTTCTTGTCTCCCTACATTTCTCCTTGAGGGAAAAACCAGCTGTAGAGCCAGGGAAAGTCCAGACTGTTGTATTCTAGTCATTCTTGGAAGGAATCCATAAGAACCTTCTCTATCTATATAGCATGAGAGTATATATATAACAAAGAGATGTTTCAAAATGCTCTGCCTGGAAAACAATCTCACATACAAATAGAATGTGACCTAGAGAGAATGCCCTGTGTCCAGACAGCTCATAGTATGAAGGGCAATTTCCACAGATGCAGAGAAGTTGGAACCTCAGCTGGTTCTTGGCAATATGAAATGGTTAAGCAGCTAGGCTTGTTTTGTAAGTAGTGGCATTCAGAGGTATCTTGAGCTGTGTTTAAAGCAACGGGTGTTCCAGGCAATTTGTCTTGAGAGTGAGGCATTCATCTGGTTCTCTTTCCTCCATGACATTTGTTACATTATGATTTTTGGGAGTGCATTTTTATGTGTGCATGTTCAGTGTGTGCTTTTAAGAATAAATTTCCTTAAAGGGCTGGAGAGATGGCTCTTCACTTAAGAGTGCATACTGCTCTTCCCAAAGACCCAAGTTCAGTTTCTAGCATATATATTGGGTCACTCAGTCATCTATAACTCCAGCTCCACGGTGTTCCATGCCCTCTTCTGGCCTCTAAGGATACCTTCAAGTATCTGCAAATATACCCTCACAGACACATACATGCACACACATAATTTTAAAGAATAAACCTTTTTTAAAAGGGAAAATAATCACTCAAGGAACATTGCATGAAAAAATGAAATTGTCAAAGAAAAAATAAAATATTCTTTAAAAAAAGAAATAAAAAGAATAAATTCTCAGGGACAGCAGGTGGGTCTTGAAACTGTTGGTAATAGCTAACTGAATTATAACCCAGAAATCTTGGGCAAGTTTTGAGTTGTTTTCTCTAGAGATGTTGCTAAGTATTTTGTATCTTAGGAATTCCTCTGGTCCCTCTTGGTTGTTCTTGGTCTATTGCATGGATGATCTTGAGTCATTTGCCTGGTCCATTCAGAAGCTGATAACCCATAGGCAGTCTCTACCAGCAGCCATTCCTTCCTTTCCACTGTCTCCCAGAAACCTTCAGCTTCTTCTATTCCCATCTTTCCAACTCCATCAGCAGTGTGGAGGGAAGTGAGTGAGTCAGGGCAGGAGGGGGTAAATGCAAGGCCCTAGCAGATAAAGGTGTGGGTTACTGCCAGATGGGGGCTTGACATGTTCTAGTAGTACAATGTGTAGACTTTAAAAGAAAGTGCCTGAAAACAGACTCATTGTCGAGTAAAATTATCTGCAATCACAGTGATTATTAAAGCATTTACAAATGATGGCAACTAAAATTGCAGGCAAAGAGAAAATTACAACCTACCTGGAAACTTAGACTATTCATTGGCAATGGGGTCTCCAGAAAACACACCTTGTCTTTACATCCACCACCAGTAATCAGTTGGAACAAGAATCACCTGTGGTTCTCAAACTATCGTGTAAAAAGTTGACGAGGTGCTGCTTGTTTTATATCAACTCTACACAAGCTAGAGTCATCTGAGAGGACAAAACCCCAACTGAGAAATGTCTCAGAACAATCTGAGCTGTAGGGCATTTCCCTAGTTAGTGAGTGATGTGGGAGGGCCTGGCTCATTGTGTGTAGGATATTCCTGAGGTGGTCCTGGGTTCTATAAGAAAGCAGGCTGAGCAAGGAGCAAGCCAGTAAGCATCACTTCTCCATGGCCTCTCATCAGTGCCTGCCTCCAGGTTCCTGCCCTGTTTTGAGTTCCTGTCCTGATTTCCTTTGATGATGAACATCCACACAGAAGTGTAGGCCAAATAAACGCTTTCCTCCCCAACTTGCTTCCCCCACAGATTGCTCGTTAATTGTATAAGAGGGTAAGTGGTAGTTTTATAGTGGAGAAACCTGGGATGCATCATCTTAAATAAATAATTGCTAGAAACTGATGCCCTGATAGGAAGGAAGCACTGAGGAAGGACACGACACCACTTACAACCCATTACAACCCGATTCTCATCACGAGACGACACCAGCTAAACCCTAACTGCCACACATTTTGTGAATGTTAATGTCATGCGGGACAGCTGGGACTTTTATATCCATACTAAAGAGACAGCCAAGGCAGGATGGAGGGATTGAGATCAAACCCTGGATCAGGGAGTGCAGTGCTGTAGAGGACAGTGTTGTGACAGTTGATGGAATTTGAAGATGGACTGCAGTTAATATATGACATAAATGGCATCAATGTCAAATTTCACAAATTTTATAATTTTATTGTACTTAAATGAATTTCATATTAGGGGAAATTGAAGTAGTTAGGGAGAGGGAGCATGTATCTGCAACTAAATCTCAACTTTGCTGGGGAAACATATGCATGTGTGTGTTTATAAGTGTATGGAGTCATATGAAAAAGAATGGGCTAAGATGAATGAAGCAAGATGTGTGTGTGTGTGTGTGTGTGTGTGTGTGTGTGTGTGTGTCTCTGTTCATCACATGTATGCCTGGTGATGGCCAGAAGATCCCTGGGACTGGAGTCACAAATGGTTGTAAGCCACCATGTTGGTGCTGGGAATTGAACCCTGGTCCTCTGGAAGAGCTGCCAGTGCTCTTAACCACTGAACCATCTCTCCATCCCCAAATGTACTATAACACCCTCCCCCTTTTTGAGGTAGGATCTCTCTGTAGCATTAGACTCTGTCCTGGAACTCTCTCTGTAGACCAAGCTGGTCTCAGACCCATAGAGATCCGCCTGCCTCTGCCTCCCGAGTGCTTGGATTAAAGGTGAACGCCACCACCTCCCAGCTGATAATGTTAGCTCTTTATTATGGAAAATGCTATATGCACTGGCATATTATGGACACCCATGTACCTGAGTGCTCCAGCTTTAGCAAGTATCTTGTTACATTCCTTGCCATAGTCCTAATTTAATATAGGTGTTTTGAAAGCTAGTCTAGACGTGGTTACTTTAGCTGTTGAGGCTTTACTGCGCCTGCGTGCCCACTTCCTCCCTGCGTTGAGCTTATCACACTTAAGTGGCAATTCAGTAAGATAGAAGCTTTCAGCTCTGGTCAGTGTCATGCACTAGCAACAAGAGGTCTGGAGAGTGCTTGGTGTGGCATATGTGGGTTGTGTTCAGGTTTCAGCGTAGTTATCAGTAGTGTGGAGGAAAAGCTCTGAGAAGTTTCTGGTTCTTGTCTTTCAAACTCCTACTTCTGATTTTAAAGCCAAGAATGAAATTCCAGAAGAAAGCATAAAGAAGGCATGGAGCCAATATTCTGAGTTGATTAATCCAGTTGTTGTTATATCAATAAAGCATCCTGGGAGTTAATCCGAATATACACTTTTTC